GTTTCTTGTAGGTGACAGATCAATGAATCGTTTCATTGGGTACATTTAGTCTATTTACATTCAATGTAATTATTGATAAAAAAAAGTACTTATTCCTGCCATTTTGTTATTTGTTTTCTAGTTGTTTTGTGGTCTTCTCTTCCTTTTTAATTTTCCTCCTGTCTTTCTTTTAGTGAAAGTTTTTTCCTCCGGTGATATAATTTAGTTTCTTGCTTTTTATTTTTTTGTAGCCATCGTATGTTACCATGTATGTTACCATGAGGCTTGCAAATAGTATTTTATAACCCATTATTTTAAGCTGATGACAACTTAATACTGATTGCATAAACAAGCAAAGAGAAAACGAATAAAAGCTTTACACTTTAACTTTATCCTCCCACTTTTTAACTGTTTGTTGTTTCTATGTATATTTTATTATACTGCGTATGTCTTAAAAAGTTCTAGTTATTTTTTTCAATTGGTTCATCTTTTCATCTTTCTACTTAAGATATGAGTAGTTTACACACCATAATTACAGTGTTACAATATTCTTTATTTTTCTTTGTGCTTACTATTACCAGTGAGTTTTGTAGCTTCAGATGATTTTATATTGCTCATTAATGTTCTTTTCTTTCTGACTGAAGTACTCCCTTTAGCATTTATAGTAGGATAGGTCTGGTGTTGATGAAATCCCTCCACTTTTGTTTGTCTGGGGAAGTCTTTAGTTTTCCTTCATGTTTGAAGAATATTTTCACCAGATACGCTAATCTAGGTTAATTTTCTTTTTCTTTGAGCACTTAAATATGTCATGCCACTCTCTTCTGGCCTGTAAAGTTTGCATTGAAAAGTCTGCTGCCAGACATATGGGAGCTCCATTGTATGTTGTCTGTTTCTTTTCTCTTGCTGCTGTTAGGGTCCTTTCTTTATCCTTGACCTTTGGGAGTTTGATTATTAAATGCCTTGAGGCAGTCCTTTGGGTTAAATCTGCTTGGTGTTCTATAACCTTCTTGTATTTGATATGGGTATCTTTCTCTAGGTTTGGGAAGTTCTCTGTTATTATCCCTTTGAATAAACTTTCTACCCCTATCTTTTTCTCTACCCTCTCTTTAAGGCCAACTCTTAGATTTGCCCTTTTGCGGCTATTTTCTAGATCCTGTAGGTGTGCTTCATTGCTTTTTTATTCTTTTGTTGTTGTTGTTTCCTCTAACTTTGTATTTTCAAATACCCTGTCTTCAAGCTCACTAATTCTTTCTTCTACTTGATGAATTAAAAGACTCTTAGGAATTCTTCAGTATGCCAATTGCATTTTCAGATCCAGAATTTCTGCTTTATTCTTTTTAGTTGTTTCAATCTCTATTAAATTTGTCTGATAGAATTCTGAATTCGTTCTTTGTGTTATCTTGATTTTTCTTTGAGTCTCCTCAAAACAGCTATTTTGAATTCTCTGTCTGAAAGGTCACATATCCGTTTCTCCAAGATTGGTCCCTGGTGCCTTATTTAGTTCATTTGGTGAGGTCATGCTTTCCTGGATAGTCATGACACTTGTAGATATTTGTCTGTGTTTGGGCATTGAAGTCAGGTATTCATTGTAGTCTTCTCAGTCCGGGCTTGTTTGTACCCATCCTCCTTGGGAAGGCTTTCCATATATTCAGAAGGACTAGGGAGTTGTGATCTAAGCTGTATGTGCTTCAGGGACCACCCCATGCCCAATAATGCAGTGGTTCCTCCAGACTCATAGAGGTACTGCCTTGATGGTCTTGGATAAGATTTAGAAGAATTCTGTGGATTGCTAGACTGAGACTCTTGTTCTCTTTCCTTACTTTCTCCCAAACAGAGCCTCTCTTTCTGTTCTGAGCCACCTGGAGCTGGCAGTGGAGTGACCCAAGCACCCTTGTGGCCACCACCACTAGCACTGTGCTGGGTCAGACTTGAAGTCAGCACAGCATTGGGTGTTGCCCAAGGCTTACTACAACCACTCCTTGGCTGCAGCTTATGTTCGCTTAAGGCCCTAGGGCTCTACACTTAGCAGGTGGTAAAGCCAGCCAGGCCTGTGTTCTTCCTTTCAGGGTGGTGAGTTCCTCCACTCCCCATGCAGGTCCAGAAGTGCCATCTGAGAATTAAGAACTAAAAACAAAAACCTTAGAATTCTACATGATATTCTAATGTGCTGCAGCTGAGCTGGCACTCAAGTCACAAGGTACAGTCCTTCCCACTCTTCCCACTCCTTTCCAAACAGAGAGGAGCCTCACCCTGTGACCACCACTACCATAGGCTGAGTACTGCCAGACTACCTCTGATGTTCCTTGAGGGTCTAACAGCTCTTCAGTTAGCTTGTGGTGAATGCTGCCTGGTTTGGGATTCAATTTTCAGGGGAATGGGCTCCCTTCTGGCTGAGGGCAGGTCCAGAAATGCCATCCAAGAGCCAATCCTGGAATTGGGGACCCTGAGAATCCTCTTGGTGCTCTATCCCCTGTAGCCAAGGTGGCACCTAAGGTGCAAGACAAAGTCCCGTTTACTTTTCCCTCCTCTTTTTTCATGTGGAAGGCATCTTGCCACCTAACCACCAGAGCAGGGAATAGGCTGAGTCTCACCTGAAGGCAGCAAGTCTCAGGCTCACCCAGGGCCCTCACCGATACCTGGGTAGTGCTGCTGGTTATTCAGGGCCCAAGGACTCTTTAGTTAGGAGATAACGAATCCTGCCAGGACTAGGTCCTTCCTTTCAAGGCAGTGGGCTCTCTTCTGGTCTCCGGTATGTATAGAAATGTTGTCCAGGAGCTAGAGCTTGGAAAGTGGACCTCATGATTCTGACTGATGTCCTATCCTGCTGTGGCTGAGCTTATCCAGGATGCAAAACAAAGTTTTCCCCATTATTCCATCTTCTCTCAAGTGGAGGGAAAGGGTTTCTTTTGGAGTCACAAGCTGTGCAGCCTGGGGTTAGGGGAAAGGTGATGCCAAGACCCCTTAGCTTCCCCTGACTGATGTGTCATTAGTCACGTGCCCCGCTTAGCCCACTGTCACTGTCTTTGGGCCCATTTCAGCACTAGGGCTTGCCTAGGAGTTGTAGTCCTGGTGGCCTAGATTGCCACTGTAGCCCATGGTGGCAAGGCTTGTAGGAACTCAAGTTTAGACTGCTGGGGGTCAATGATTCCCTCTGTTTAGGGCTGAATTAAATACTCCCTCCATGGGTGAGCACCCACTAAGTTTCATCTAGTTTTTTTCTTTTATAATAGCACAGCACTGAGCTCAATGCCTCATAATTGCTGCACTCACCCTCTGCCCAGTGCACAGAAAAGCTCTGTTCACCATGCCACTGCTGCCTCAGGATGAGGGAGGGGTGGTGTTGGTGATTCAAGACTGTTTTACCTACCTCTTCAATGCCTCTTTCAGTGATATAAAGTTAAAACCAGAACGTAAGACCTAAAACCATAAAAACTCTACAAGAAAACCTGGGCAATAACTTTCAGGACATAGGCATGGGCAAAGACTCCATGACTAAAACACCAAAAGCAATGAAACAAAAGCCAAAATTGGCAAACGGGATCTAATTAAACTAAAGAGCTTCTGTACAGCAAAAGAAACTATCAACAGAATGAGCAGGCAACCTACAGAATGGGAGACAATTTTTGCAATGTATTCATCTGACAAAGGGGTAACATCCAGAATCTACAAAGAACTTAAACAAATTTACAAGAAAAAACAAACAACTCAATCAAAAGTGGGCAAATGATATGAACAGACACTTCTCAAAAGAAGACATTTATACAGCCAACAAATGTATGAAAGAATGCTCATCATCACTGGTCATTAGAGAAATGCAAATCAAAACCACAAGGAAATACCATCTCACGCCAGTTAAAATGGTGATCATTAAAAAGTCAGGAAACATCAGATGCTGGAGAGGATGTGGATAAATAGGAATGCTTTTACACTGTTGGTGGGAGTGTAAATTAGTTCAACCATTGTGGATGACAGTGTGGTAATTCTTCAAGGATCTATAACCAGAAATACCATTTGACCCAGCAATCCCATTACTGAGTATATTCCCAAAGGATTGCAAATCATTCTACTATAAAGACACATGCACACATATGTTTATTGCAGCACTGTTCTCAATAGCAAAGACTTGGAACCAACACAAATACCCATCAGTGATAGCCTGGATAAAGAAAATGTGACACATATACACCATGGAATACTATGCAGCCTTAAAAAAGAATGAGTTCATGTCCTTTGCAGGGACATGGATGAAGCTGGAAACCATCATTCTCAGCAAACTAACACAAGAACAGACAACCAAACACTGCATGTTCTCACTCATAAGTGGGAGTTGAACAATGAGCACACATGGACACAGAGAGGGGAACATCACACATTGGGGCCTGTCAGGGGTTGGGGGGACTAGGGGAGGGATAGCATTAAGAGAAATACCTAATGTAGATGACAGTTTGATGGGTGCAGCAAACCACCATGGCACGTGTATACCTATGTAAAAAACCTGCACGTTCTGCACATGTATCCCAGAACTTAAAGTATAATAATAATTTTTAAAAAACAGGTACCGTGAGTGCTCACCTGATTTTTTGTCCTTATGAAGGTGCTTTTTTTTTTTGCAGACAGTTGTTAGATTAGTGTGTTTGCAGGGGTTGGGGGACAATCAGTGGAGCCTTCTATTCTGCCATCTTGCTCTGCCCTTTACCAATCCTGTACCTTGAATTTTTAAATGCACCCTGATATTTCTAATTGCCCCTTAATTTCTAAGCAAAGTTTGACAATAGCTGGTGTAGAAATTTTTTATTTTCTTGAATTCTTGGAGGGCCAGACACAAAGTGCTTGGTTCAACACTGAGTGACTCTACTGGCTGAATGTTGCTTTTCAGTAATAAAATTGCCTCGTACCCACTCCTGGTAGTTCAGATTTAATTAGTTTAGGGAAGGATCTAAATATCAGAATATTTTAAACCTCAGCTAATTCTCATATGCATCCAGGTTAGGACTCATTATTTAAGAAATTGCAACAAGGAATTGAAAAAACCCTTTAATTGTCATAGGAAAAATAGACATAGCTAACAGGGAGAAAATATGATGGTTCGCAGTACATATATGTAGAGTAGCAACTGCTTGCTTTGGTATTTTGTAACAACAAATCTAACGCTTTGGTAGATGATGGTGGGCAGTGAAATAGCATTAAACATGGGGTTGGATTACCACATCCACATTTAAATCTCCTTTTAATCTACTTATTTGCAGAGTTTAAAAATAGCACAATGTTTTTAACATAGTGGATACACAGTCAACATTTAATGTCCTATCAGATAAAGGCAATATTATAACATTCCTGGATGATTTCCATACTGAAATAATAAAAATATGGCAACAATGAGAATGTATTATAATATAAAGCATTATATATTATGCAATCAGAAACAACCATATTGCACTTTTAAACTAGGAGAGAAGGCTATGTCATTCTTAATGTAGTAATCTATCTAAAACCAGCATTTAACAACATAATTAATAGGGAGACTCGAGGCATTTATATAAAAGTCATTATGAGGCAAGGATACTCATCATTATTGAATATTTTTATGGTAGTTCTACTGAATGCAACCAGACTAGGGAGGAAAAGGAGTAAGGGGTTTAACTCTTGGGAAGGGAAAAAAATGATTGTTATTTGCAGATGATATAATAGACTACCTAGAAAAGTAAAGAAAATTAGTTGAAGATCTGCTAAAACCAATGAAAAAGTCCACTATGAAGATTACATAGAAAATAAATATGGACAAGTATTAGTTTTCCTGTATATCAGGAGGTGCAAACTCAAATGTCTTTAAAGGCCTGGTAGGTAACCTAAATGCATGACCTCTCCTTGTGTGGGCAATAGGCTGTTCACAATAGCAAGAAAAAAATAAACTAGCTGACTTAACAAGAAACACACAGAGTCTTTATGCTGAGCCTATGAAAATTGAACTATACAGTATAAATAGTATGTTTTTATATAAATAAATAAATAAATAAATAGTATGTTTTTGGATCACTTGGAGAACAAACAGGCGATACTAGTTAGGAATGTTTAGAATAATGAGTAAGAAGGGAGAACTTTGGCTATCCCTATCAAATATTAAAACGTGTGTGATAACTATGGCAATTGAGATGGAGTCTTCTATTTCTGTTTTACTTGTTTACTTGTTCGATGAAAGAATAGGTAGATCATTAGAACAGAAAAGAAAAAACAAAAGCATAGGCATTAGAACAGAAAAGAAAAAAACAAAAGCATAGGCACGTGTAAATAAAATTCTAGCCTATGTCACATTCATTCATTTATTTAAAAATAATGCTGTAAGTACCATTCTAGTCACTGAGGATACAACAGTGAAGACGGTAGACAAGAGTCTGTTTCTCTTTGTATTCTGATCGGAGAGGCAGACAATGCTCTTTTTCTCTCTGTCATATACATACATATATATTATACACAAGATATGTACACTATATATATAATAAAAATAAAGATAATTCAGGTAGGGTGGCATAATTTTGACTTGAGGAGGTGACATTTAATCTGATAAGTGAATGGCTAGAAGAAGTGAGCCATGCAAATGCAGGGGAAAGAATCTTTCAAAGAAAGTATCAGGCGTGGTGTAGTCGAGAAACAGAAAGAAGGCCAATATGGGTGCAGCACAGTAGGAAAGGGGGCAAGCATATGTGAGGTTGACAGAAGTTAGATCTTGCAGGACTTTGTACCCAAGATAAAGAAGTTGGACTTTATTTTTTAAGGATAATAAAGAAATATTGGAAGGTTTTAAAGCAGAAGAGTGACAGTCTGACTTGTCATTCATAAAGATCACTCTGGTTTCTATTTGTAGAATGAACTATAAACAGCCAGTATGGAAATGGCCAACCCAGACAGGAGCCTATCAGAGTAGTCTGGGAAAGATGAAAGTGACCAGGATAAAGTAGGGATAGTGAAGTTGGAAAGAAGTGAATTAATTTGGGATATGTTTTGGAGGAAAAGTCAAAAAGATTGAATTGGGACACTGAAGAAAAGAAAGGAATCAAGGGTAATTCCTGTTATGGTCTAAAAGAACTGGGTACATGATACTCAGAAGACTGGAGAAAGACCAGGATGGGGGTGGGTGTGGGGAATCAAAAGTTTCAAATATAGTAAGTTTTAGATGTCTATCAGAGATTTTGAGGAAGTAACAAGCAGGCAGTAACCTACAGAAATCTGGTGTCCTGATAAGTTAGGCTCAAGATATCCAGGTTGGGCAATAATCGATGATTATATTTAAAGCCAAGGCACAAATGAGCATGTTAGGGAAGCAAAGGAGTCCTAAAAAGATGCTCAGACACTGGCATTTGGAGGATACACAGAAAAGGAGCAAGGCAGCAAGGGAAACAGGAAAAAGATAGCTGAGGAGGCTGGAGAAAAACCAAACAGGCATTGAAGCAGACAGAAGGATGTAGTTCAGGAAAGGGGTAGTCAACTGTGCTAAATCCTGTGGAGACTTCAAGCAATATACAAACAAAATAGAGAGCATTGCTTAGCTTGAAAAGAGCAATCTTGGTGAAGCTGGTGGGTATGCGATACCTTTTAGAATGAGAGGCAAGGAGGTGGAGATAACTACTTTTGACAACCTTTTTAGTATCACTGAAGTGACATTTCAACCAATATTGCTATACAAAAACAATTACTTCAATTTGTTAAAATCAGTTCAAATCAGCCGGGAGAATGATCACTTTATAAATGACCTTGGTATAATTTATTATTTATTGGAAAAATTAAATAATTTGATTAAAATTTTAGGAAAAAATAAAGTAATACTTCAAAAAGAGAGCAAGTCTGTCTCTAACTGGTAGTATAATGGGCGTTTTCATTTTGTTGTTATGCATTTTTCTAATTTTTCCATAATATACTCTTGTTTTGTTAAAAGAATCGATGTCTTTTTTAAGAAAACCAAACAATTTTAGCAAGCCTCTGGGTTCAGAATCAAATTAAATCAATTCAGTGCAACAGACTATTGGCATTGCATCAGGTTCCTACCATCTAGAAAGGTGTGCAATATAAGAATGTCAAGGAGTATATATAACACAAGGTGAAGCAAGGTGGGTGTTGCAATCAGAGCACAAGGCACCTATGAGAAGTCAAAAGAAGGGTTTATAACTCCTGGTTCCTGGTCAGAGTTTCAGAGTAAAACTCTGAAAAAAAAAAAAAAAAAAGAGCTTGACAAAGGGAAAGTCATGGTGACTGGGTCATCATGAGCAACGTTACTAGAGTGGTAAGGCAGAATCTGTACCTTGTTAAGTCACTCTGTGGGAGAAATCCACAAGACATGGTGAGCAACCCACGGTTACCACCAAGAACTCTTCAGTGAAGTTAGAAATGGAGAAAAACCCAAGAAACTCCGTTTCCTTTTCCCTCAGGAAGGCCTACTCATCAATTAGATAAAGAATAGCTAAGTAACATGTATAACCAGGATCTCTAAAGTGTGTGTGTCTGCACGTGTGTGTCTCAATCACCACAGGAAATTATAATCAGCTGTTCACAGCCCTAAATTCTTTCTGGGTCTTGTGTCCAGTGCTCAAGTAACTTGTCTGAGTCCAATTAGGGAAGGGTTAGCTCTGATTAAGTTTAAAGAAATGTGGTTAGTGAAAGAAGCCACAAAATGAAGACTTCAGAACTGGGATTGGGTGGAGACAACACTCCTCTCTGTTTTACATGGTGTCTGTTATTGCTGTGGGTTTTGGAGATTCACTGGATTGGTCTGTTACTCATGGTAAAGTCCACTTGGTATAGTATGTTGCAAAGATGAGAAGGATCTGAATTTCTGCATCTGACTCAGTGGAAGATGGAGATACCGCCTTAAAATTGAGGCAAGCATTCTCTGAGTGGAAGGAGGAACAAAAGGAAAAAGAAAGTATGATTCAGAATTCTACTTGTGTCTGACTCAGAAACAGAGAGTTTAAGGCTATTGTTAGCCACTGTCCCTGGTTCCCCACATAGTCCCTAGGCTAGTGGTGCTGAGGAAGTGATCTGTTGTAGAGAGGGTATGTATGACTGTGTTGCTTCTATTAGGAAGCCATGAAGTCGCCAGGGTATACTTAGACCCAGAAAAAGATTTTTAAATGTCAGTGGCATTACTCACACGTCTCTTCTGACTGTCTCAGTGTGTTCTTCACCCTCACACAGAGATTGACACGTTTCCCATATCCCTGGTCAAAAATAGAACGCACTTCTCGTTTCAGCTCTGAAGCACTCACATGGTGTGTTCCAAGCTTTTGCAGTCTTCTTCAATTCATAACCTGAAGCCAATACAAGCAAGGTGTCTGGGTGCTTTTAATATGTGTATGTACTTACAACTTTCATTATATAAATTATTTTCCCTTGGGATGCTTCTCATTGCTGGAAAGTCATGCTTTTCTGCTTATATTTCTCTTTAAACTTCATTTTTATGCCAACAGATGATGTGCTTGATTCTATTTTCCATTTAATGTTAGGATATTGGACTCTTGGCAAAGCATAATGAGGGGCCCACTTCACTCTCAGTTTAAATGCTAAGATAATGTGCTTCTGCATAAGATGAAAGAGACACCTATCCAATGGCTGCCCTTTAGTCCAATTGTTCTGCTGCCTGTGAATCAGTTGGGTATGCACAGATGCCCTCTGTTTGAACCAAGCATTCCCCTTCACTAGCTGTCATCTTCTTCCCTCTTATCACCCTGGCTAATTCTTATTCTGATTCCTGATATGCACCTTGGGCTGCCTCTGTTTGTTGAACTTATTCAGAATTTTTTCACTGACTCAACAGCCTTCCTCTTCTCTGTCCACCCTCACCTTCCCTGAGCTTCCAAGGAGAATGGCAAACTCATTTGTGTACTTCTAGAGCAACCCTGTCACAGAGCTAATGGCTACCAATGAACAACAAGTTAGCAGATGCTGCCTGCACTTGATGGCTGGATTTGGTCAAGCCATTGTTTGCTAATTTTAAGTAATCTTACATGGTATTGTTTTTATACTCAGTTATTGATGAGTCTTTCGTCCCATCGTTCTTCCATTCTACCAGTTTCAAGATGATTTGTGATGAAGACTTTTCTCAGCTCCTTTCAGAGAAGGCCAAAGTTAAGAATTCAAACTTAATTGGTACTTTCCTTCATAGCTTCCACACTTGCTTTGCTCTGTCATTTTCATATGGTGCCACAAATTCCCTCCCACCTTCTGGGGCACAAAACAATCTCTTATTGTTGGAGAAACTCAAAGGATACTCTATGAATGTCTATTTGGGATTTCTAATTCTTACTTTACATTTGATCTACCATATTTTGGGCAATCTTTGCTTTTTAAACAATATATATATTTTTAAATTACAAAATAAATGCATTTATGATAAACTCAGAAAATACAGAAAAGGTCGAGTGAAGGGACATAGAATCACTTATAATCTCCCCATTTATTATTAACTTTGACATATCTTTCTAATATATTTTCTATGTAGTAATTTAATTAAAATATGATTTTATACACTATATCTCCTTTTCACTCAGCAATCCATTATTAATATTTCCCCATAGTAATAAATATTCTTTATAATATTAACAATTACATAACCTTCTCTCCTAGTGTAAGCACTTTCTTTTTAATTCAGGAGTGGATTCTGAATGTTATCACATCTCTTTTTCATTACTATTGAGATATATGCTCTGGTTTCTTCCAGTAATCTATTGGCATAAAAAACAATATCACTAGTGGTAATAGTGTCTTATCACTAGTGGTAGGAGTGTCACTCTATAGCCAGACTTCCTGGATTCAAGCCTTCCTCTGCCCTTACAAATTGTGTGACTTTGAACAACTTATTTAATCTCCTAACACTTTAACTTTCTCATCTGTAAACGAGGCACAATAATGGGACCCATATAATTTATTCTTATGAGAATTGAATGAATATATGAGCAGATCTTAGGATACCACCTGACACAAAACCAAAACAATGTGTTTGTAATTGCTTCTCAATCCTGAAACTAACTTCACTTTGTCACGTGCTCTTAATATACTACTGAGTTTTCTCATCTTTATTTAGAACTGGGAATGATCTCCAGTTTTTTCATTATTCAACTTTGTTCACATTTGGCATCAAAATATATGGTCTTTTAAAAATGAAGTTAAATTTTTCATTTTATTCCCTATGCTTTCGAACAATAAAAAAGAACTAGAGAAGAACAAAGTCAGAGGACAAATACTAGCTAGCTTCAAGACTTCCTGTAAAGATACAGTAATCAAGACAATGTGGTATTGGCAAAAGAACAGACAAAGAGATCAATGAAACAGAATAGACTACCCAGAAATATGCCTGCATAAATATAGTCACCTGATATTTGACAAAGAAGCAAAGGCAAATACAGTGCAGAAAAGATCATCTTTTTAGCACATGATGCTGAAACAACAGGACATCCAAATGCAGTGAACCTAGACACAAACCTTACACCCTTCACAAAACTTGACTTCAATGGATCACAGGCCTAAATGTAAAATGTAAAAGTATAAGTCCCCTAGAAACAACACAGGAGTAACTCTAGATGACTTTGGGTTTGGTAACGACTTTTTAGATACAGCACCAAAGGCATGATCCATGAAAGAAATAACTGATAAGCTGAACTTCATTAAAATAACAAAAAAAAAATTCTGCTCTGCAAAACACTGTCAAGAGGATGCAAAGGCAAGCCACAGACTGGGAGAAAATATTTGCAAAAGACATGTTTGATAAAAGACTGTTATCCTACAAGGCACCTATTCAACAATAAGAAAACACACAACCTGATTTGAAAATGGGCCAAAGACCTCAACAGACATCTCACCAAAGAAGATATACTGTGGGAAATAAGCATATGAAAAGATATTCCATACATATATCGTCAAAGAAATGCAAATTAAAACAGCAGTACAACACTGCTACACACTTATTATAATGGCCAAAATCCAGAACACTGACAATATTAAATGCTGGTGAGGATGTGGAGCAACAGGAATTATCATTCACTGCTGTAATGAATACAAATGCAAAATGGAACAGCCACTTTGGAAGGCAGCTTGGTGGATTCTTACAAAACTAAACATACTCTTACCATGGGATCCAGAAATTATATGCCTTGGTATTTACTCAGAGGAACTGAAAACTTATGTCCACACAAAAGCTTGCACACACATGTTTATTGCAGGCCTATTCATAATTTTGCAAATATTTGGAAACAGCTAAGACATCCTTCCGTAGATGAATGAAAAATAAACTCTGGCACATAAAGACAATTGACTATTTTCCAGTGGCAAAAAGAAATGAGCTACCAAGCCATGAAAAGACAAGGAGAAAACTTAGGTGCATATTACCAAGTGAAGGAAGCTAATCTTAAAAGGCCACATACTGTATGATTCCAACTATAAAACATTCTGGAAAGGCCAAAGCTATGGAGACAGTGAAAACATTAGTGGTTGGCAGTGGGTCCGGGGAGGTGGAGATGAATAGGTGTAGAACAGAGGATTTTTAGGGCAGTGAAAATACTCTGTAAGATACTATAATGGAGCACACATCTATCCAAACTCGCAGAATGTAGGGCACCAAGAGTGAACCCTAATGGAAACTATGAGCTTTGGGTGATGATGTGTTACTGGAAGTTCATTAGCTGTAACAAATGTACCACTCTGTGGGGTATGCTATAAATGAGGGAGGCTATGCATGTGTCAGGGGAGGAGGAAGACAAACCCCTACCACGGGGTTTCTCTGTGTGTTCATTTCAATTTTGCTGCTAACCTAAAACTGCTCTAAAAAATATGTTTTTGCTTTTTTTTTTTTTACAAAAAACTTAGAGTAATCTCACACTTGAAGGTTTGAGAAGGCTCACTGAGAACTTCTAAGACCATCATTTCTTAGCAGTAAACTTTTTAAAATATTACTTTTTTTCTATAGTTATCAAGTGTTCTACTTCTTAAGAAGTTATTTTTGATAACATACTTCCTAAAAATGTTTCAATTTTTTCAAGATTTTTAAGTAGTATTTTTTCTTTCCTTAACAATAAATCCACTTTATATCAGACACTATATATCCTTTCCTATTCATAGTTTTAGCTGTATTTATTCTCCTTTTCTTTGAGAAGACTAGCTAGAGATTTATTTATTAGTTTTTTTCTTCAAACCATTTTCAGGCTTATTTTAATCCTACCATATTTCTGTTTTCTGATAATTATTTTTGCTTTAATATTTGTGTATGCTTTTCTTAGAGTTGCTTTGTTTTACTTAACTTCCTGAGTTTAGTGCTTATTTAAATTATTTTAATTCTCTGTTCTTTAGTAATTAAAGCATGGAAATCTAGGAGTTTTCCCTGAGCACAAGAGTATACCCTTCTTTACATCTGTGTTCTCCAGTTTTTATAGAAGATACATTTTGTTTTAAATTCAACATGTACATATGCAAAAACATTGTATAGTTTTCATCTTGTCTAGTTAAAATGCAGATTGTCTCTGTAAACAAACAAACAAAGAATTTAGCATGCCTCCTACCCCACTTCTAGCCATACCTGTTTTGGTAACATAATTTGGAGATTTAGGCAGACTATTTTCTTTAATGTTTAAGTTTTACATTACACATTTCCTATTTTCAGTAGTCCCCATCAAGCCTATTATAAGAAAACTTCCCTATTCTTGTGCTTTTAATTTTTTAATGTTTATTAAGGTTTGAACAGATTTTTGAAGATTTTTTTTCCAAACAAAATTAATAGGTGGTATATTTTCTAAGCTCCTGAATACTCAAAAAAGTGCTATTTCCTTCACATGAGAAAGAAAGCCTTGATGGGAATAATAATCTAAGTTACAATAGCTTAACCTCAAAATGCTGAATTTGCACTGTCTAATATAGGTGGTATTAACCACATAGAGCTATTTAAATTTAAATTACTAAAATTAAGTAAAATGAAAATTCAGTCCACTGGTCACATTTCAAGGGTTCCATAGCTCAACACGAGTAGTGGCTACCATATTGTACGGCACACATCTAGAACGTTTTCATCACTGCAGAAAGTTTTATTGAACAGCAGCTCCTAGTCTACACATTGATCCATTGACTTGTAGAGTGCAGAGAAGGTTGAAGACAGCTGTTTTAAATTCCTTTATAGAATAACCAGATTTTCTACCTAGAGTTTATAGAATCTTAAATTTTCAGGTTGTAATTATGTAGATTTTAGTTTAGAATATCAGTCTGCATATGGGAAATATTCTGAGCTCAGGAAAACTTACTTCAATTATGTCTTTAAAAATTGCTTTATTTTTCTCCTGGTATGGTAGCTTCTATCTTGGTTCGAGTTTCTGTTTTCTGTTTCCCTCTTTTTTTTTTTTTTCTCATAGTTTCACCTTTGTCTCTTTTTTAAAACTCTTCAGGAAAAGTTACCAAATTAGTCCTTTGCGTCTTTGAGTTTATTTCTTAAGTACCAAACTATGATTTTTTTTTCTGTAATAATAGTAGGGTATTAATCCTACTAAATAATTATTTCTCATCACATTCATCTACTTGTGTAGCTTGTCCTGCTGTCACTTTTTTCTTTCTCTCTTTTCTCCTTATTACTTTTAACTGTTTTGTAGAAGCCACATTTTGTTTTCATTTTTATTGGAAATTCTAAACAACTTTTTGAATTTTTTCTTCAGGATTCTACAATTGGTCATTTTCAGTTATAAGCAGTTTCCATTCTTCCAAGTTCTCAGCATGACCACTTCTTGTCCCTTATTTTACATTATGTTTCTATGGGCTCTAATTTGGATTTTAAATTTAAATAAACAATTAAAAAAATAAATTTTGTTATCTTTTTTCATTTTTTAAAATTTAACTTTTATTTTAAGTTGAGAGGTACAAGTGCAGGTTTGTTATATAGGTAAACTTGTGTCATAGGAGTTTATTGTACAGATTATTTCATCACCCATGGATTAAGCCTAGTACGCATTAGTTATTTTTCCTGATACTCTCTACTCCCACCACCTACCCTCCAATAGGCCCCAGTGTGTGTTGTTCCCACATATGTGTCCATGTGTTCTCATCATTTCACTCCAGTTTATTAGTGAGAACATGCAGTATTTGGTTTTCTGTTTCTGCTTTAGTTTGCTAAAGATGATGGCCTCCAGCTCCATCCATGTTCCTGCAAAGGGCATGATCTCATTCTTTTGTATGGCTGCATGGTATTCCATGGTGTATACGTACCATATTTTCTTTATTTTTATTTTTTAAATTTTTTATTATACTTTAAGTTCTGGAGTATATGTGTAGAACGTGTAGTTTTGATATATAGGTACACACGTGCCATGGCGGTTTGCTACACACATTAACCTGTCACCTACATTAGGTATTTCTCCTAATGCTGTAAAGACACATGCACACGTATGTTTATTGTGGCACTATTCACAACAGCAAAGACTTGGAACCAACCCAAATGTCCATTAATGATAGACTGGCTAAAGAAAATGTGACACATATATACCATGGAATACTATGCAGCCATAAAAAAGGATAAGTTCATATCCTTTTCTGGGACATGAATGAAGCTGGAAACCATCATTCTCAGCAAACTAATACAAGAACAGAAAACTAAACACTGCATGTTCTCACTCATAAGTGGGAGTTGAACAATGAAAACACATGGACACAGGGAGGGGAACATCACTGTGTCCTGTCAGGGGGTGGGGGGCTAGGGGAGGAATAGCATTAAATTTAGTAATTGTTAAATAAGATAAGAATAATAAAGAGGTTGTATTTGAAAATAAAGGATTTTGTTTTGCCCAATTCCTTCTCCTTATTAACTGCAAATATTTAAATCTCCATCTAGAAGCCTGAGTGGAGCCTGCCCCAAGCCCATTCCCAGCTTTTCACAATCTATGTCCTCACCATCACTTTGTAACCACTTTACCTCCAAGGATGTAACTTGCCATTAGGTGTAACCCTTTACTGGCTTGTTCTGGCTTGTTCTCTGGGGCTTTCTTTTACTGGCTTGTTCTCCGGAGTTTGCTCCTGTAAAAGACATGAAAGGATGAAAGGCAGTTTAGACAAGCTCAGAAAGCTTCCAAAAGGAGCAACTGTGTGGTGGAGGTGAGATTCCATAATCTTTGGTTGTAGCAATTTCTGGTTCTCTGGGTTATGAGCTGTTTCATGAAGCAAAGTTTGGGAATGCCAACAATCAGAAGTTCGGATTATCCTGACCAAGTTCTATCAGCCTTGTAGATTCCAAAGAGTGCTCCCAGAGTCTGGCAATATATCTTCTGTAAGGTTTGGTTTCCTGTCTTGCTATTTTTATATATTTTTCTATCTTCATAAGCATTAAAGGGGGAAGGCGGAAGAGGCTACCTCATGACAGCCAATTGCAAGAGGTCAGGTCTCCTCCTGCTCAGGATAACTGTAAAATGTGCTGGGAATATAACATCCTGAAATAAAAAGGGACTGTTCAGAACAGCCCGGGTTCTGTTCCTATCTATTCTAGAACAGGATTTTCTGCAAAGCTTTAGCCCAGCACACCCAGTTTTCCACGAGGTATAAAACCCAGGGCAGAATGCTTTCAGGGTCCCTCAGTTGCAGTGCGCCGTGGGGCACGCACAGACAAGACTCTGTTCATCCTGGACAGCTTTCCTGAAAGTTGGGCACCAGTCCACCTTAATGCTAGGTTTCCATTATCCATGCTTCTCATCTGTGTGTAATAGATAAGAAGCTCAATTAACTTGTTTGAGTATTCTGTCTCAACAGACTCATTCAAGTAGAGTGACAGGTGCATGGTGAACCTGCTTCACACCAGTCAGATTCAATTTTTAATTAGATTCCAAGAGTTTTTATATACTATTTATCTTATATTGATGTTTTTATTATAAAGTGAGCACATTTATAACATAGAAAATACATTTTAAGAAATGTAATAACTACTATTAAGCCTTTGTGGTACATATTCTTTCTGTTTTTCTTAATGCCATCTTTATACTTTTTATCATACAGATGTTTGACTATACGAGAATTGTCCCTGTGTTTAAAAATAGACAACAGGATTTAGACATTCATTCATTCAATGATCAATAAATTAATATTTAAGCATTTGTTAGTTCGTAAACTGCCAGACCGTGTTAGGTGGCAGAGATTGAGAATGGGAAGATTTTTGCCCTCAGGGAGTTCAAGGTCTGGCAGGGAAGAGGGATGGGTCAATGAGTAAACACTGTATAATGGAATATGGTTGCTACTGTAGAGGTAGGTTTAGGGAACATTAGGAACAGGAAAGCGGGTACAAACTCCAGACAAACTCGGTCAGGAAAGTATTTCCAAGGATGAAAAACTTGGACTTGGTCTTTAACAATGACTAAGTGCTCCTCAGGTAGACAAGTTGGGTGTTGGGGGTAGGATGGGAAGGAATTATGTTCCAATAAAAGAGGACAGATTATATAAAGCATGAAAGAGAGACCAGAGCATGCTCAAAGAACTGCAAATAGTTTTCCACGACTGGAGCACAGGGAGTGGGCATACTGTTGAGAGCTTTAGTTTATATACCATACACAGAAGTTTTATTTTCAATCTTGAAGCCACATGGAGCCCCGATGAGCTTAAGAGAGGAAGTACCTTCTCAGGTGTAACTTTACATGACCCATGCTGGATGGATGGCTGGATTAGAAGCAGGTGAGGAAGAGTGACTAATAGGAGAAATAGAGGTGATGCTTTAGTAGTTCACATGTGAGTTAATGAAGGCCTGGACTCTGGGAATGGAGGGGGGGCATCTTCTCAGTCTTGCAGAATGCCACCTTTTATGGGTAGAGATGATGCTGTCTCTACCTTCCACAAGAAGAAAATATATTCCATGAATATTTAGTCATGTGTAGTTGCTTTCATACATTATAATGTTTCACTGATTCATCATGTCTTTCCCATTCTCCATTGTCCCAGATATATATCCCTTCCTATTCCTTTGAGAGTACCTCTTTCCTAAGATGTACTTATCCATGGTCTATGCCAGGGGTCAGCAAACTACAGCCTGCATGACAAATCCAGCCTGCAGCCTTTTTTTTTTTTTTTTCCGGAAATAAGGTTTCATTAGAACACAACCCAGTCCATTCACTTACCTAATACGTCTATGGCTGCTTTTTGTTACAATGGTAGAGTTAAGTGTTTCAAAAGAGATAATATATGGCCCACAAAACCTGAAATATTTACTATCTGGTCATTTACAGAACAACTTTGCTGACCTCTTAACTACTTAGTTTATCCATATCTTGCTTATTCCTTAAAGTCCAGCTCAAAGTTTCTCTTATGTTCTGGGACCACAATGATCTTTCTCTTTCCTCTGAACTGGTAGTTATTACTGTTCGGGTCACATATTATTTTAGTTATCCTATATGTTGTCTTGAGTTTTTTCTCTTCCAAAAGCTTAGATTTTTAAATATACAAATTACACATGTAAGATTTTTTGGAAACAGGGACCAGAGATGCTGGCTGTCTATAATACACAAGGCATAGTTCTCTGGATTCCTCAGTGAAGTTGTTTGCCCACTCCCACTCCCACCGCCGACTGCCATCCTCTCCCCAGGTGATACGTGCAACACAAGTTTAAGATACTTGCACACAATGTTGGTATATACTTGAGAGATAGCTATGTGAGATTAAAGACACAATTGGATCCCCATGTAAGAGTCACAGAGTTTCTTTGTTTCTTCGTTAATAGCTTCTGAGAGGGTGAGTTAGCAGATATCTATAAAGGGCTAATGCTCACTAGTATCATTACTCTTCAAAACTCAATTGCCTAGGTCAATCCTCCAGCCTTCACTGGCTTTGAAGGAATGTTTACCCCTTTCAAACTACAGTTAGATATTAAATATATCCACATATTAAGCATTGAGAAAAGCTGGAGAAGTGTGTAAATACTCTAAGCATATGTGTTTCATGGTGCAAACATTGAGAAGTTTACAAAGCAGTAATATATTTCTGTCTCTGGTGTGCTCTGCAGCCACCTCCCTAACTCTGTTTCCTTGCTCTCTCAGTCAAGTTTACTTATAAACTAAATGGTATTCTACTAGGGAAGTGAGGTATAGCACTGCACGCTGTCTTTATGTGAGAGATGGTATTGCAAATGGTAAAGGACCCAGGGTCTGGAGTCAAATCAAATAGGTGCTAACTCAGAGGGCAGTTGTGAGAATTCTATGAGATCATGCATGTCATATAGTGCTCGGAACATATAAGCAATCAACAAATCTTAGCTATAATTATTATTCTTATCATATTATGAGACAAGTACTTTTCTCTTAGAAAATATATCCAGCAAATAGTTATGTATGGTTTCTTTGAGATATGGCTATAATGGGCTACTTGAAAGGATGCTACCAATCCGGTCTCCTAAATTTCTCATCAGTGAGAACATGACCATTTTCTTTTGGATGGTGCCCTAGAAGATAGCAAATAAGAGCTCTTACTCTGAAACCAGTTGAATACAAAAGCCTCTTGCAGGGACTCTTATCACTATTTTCTCTTAAATAATAAAAACATTAAAGACAAGGAAAAATAACCTTCCAGTACTGATATCACATCCCATGAACACATTGTAATTGTATTTCTTTTCTTTTGCATAAAACAACAAGTCTTATGTTAATATAGCCAAAGACAACCTGAAATGTGCAATCTGTGCAGAAACAGAATTGCAAATGTTTGATCAGGAGAGCAGGAAGCACACGTTCTGCTACTCCACTCCCAAAATAGAAAACCTATTTAGCACTTTGTAAAACACGCTAAATGAAGTTTGCTCTCTCCTGCAGATAGAGATTTTACTTCATTTTGTGCCAGTGAAATTTTTGAAAATTGCATGAGGAGAGAGCAATTTTTGGCACTTTGGCTAGGAGTACAAAATGTTAGCAAATGGTGCTGAAAGGATCTTAAGTGTAATGTTGGAATAATATTCACACAACACTGGCTGCATCTTCGTTTTTAACCTATTTACATATTCAAAGGGAAAAATGCTTAGCAGTTATTTGTCTAAAGGGGCCTATTTAAGGGGAAAATGGCATTCACAATTTTTGAATACATTACTCAAGAAGGTTGCTGTGAATAACAATTCATAAAGAAAAATATCATTTCAACTATCATAGGAGGAGTAGTAGGATATAGGTGGAGAAATTTTGGACATCAACGTTAGTTCTGGACATAGAAAGAAAAGGAGGAAAAGAAGGGAGTGAGAAATATAATACATACCAGAAATTTCCACAGTGTAAGTGGACACAGAGAGAGCCATGAAAGAAACCTGAAAAAACTGACAGAATTTCCAGAGTTCTAACATGGCTCTTTTAATTTTTGACCACTTGCCGTGTACAGAAATGAAAGTATCCGTCTTATAAAAGGAATATCCTTTCATTCAAAATGTATTTAACAGCTATCTTCTATATCTGTGGCACAACCATAGAAACTGTGGCATATAGAAATCGCTATATGTTTTTTGCCCACAAGGAACTTGCAGTCAAGTTAGAGAGAGAATACTGTAGTCAAGAGACACCGAATAGATATTTAGGAGTTATAGAGCCGAAGCACCAACCTCTGGGTATAAGTTGGCTTCTACAGAAGGAATTTTGGATGGATACTTGTGAAAATAAGTGAAAGAAGAAGGGCTAAGCAGAAGCCAAACTGTAATTTTTTGCAAGTCAGTTTTTTTTGCAGACCATTGCATGTCAAACTGCAGTGCAGGCCTGACAAAGCCTCGGCCACTCACCTAGGGGTTGTGGGGGGCGCAGTGCTGAAGCATATATCGGCTGTCTGAGCTTTCTCACATTGGGCCAAAATGGCTGAGTCTTTTTTCCCCTGCCTGGATCAGTCACTGGATGTGAACCACCCTGAGAAAGTGTGATCTCCAATAAGGTGGCTTTCTGCAACAGAGGTGGAGCCTCCCGGAGCTGAAGACTGGGGACTCTGTTGAAGGTCCCCCTCGCTATTGGGTCCAGCACATCACTGAAGATGCTCTGGGTGGCACAGCTTTGTGTCTACCCTAATTCATTTGTAAAGCTTTTCGAGAACTGCAAATTAAAGCATCCATTAATGAAGGTGAATGGAAATTCAGCAGATAGATCTAGCAATGAACTTTTATTAAACCAATGTGTACAGATGGTTTAAAACAGAGATCATTCATAAACCAATGTGTTTTACTACTGTGTTTTATCAGTATATCTTGTGTGTTTTCTATAGCCCACTAGTTCCATAAAATATTGATAATTTTTCTCCAAAAAAAGATTCTGTGGTCAAAAAATTTGGGGAGGGTAGAAAATTAAGGTACTTTTTCTGAGGTACAACAAAATATCTAGCAAATTAAGATAATTTTTCTGAGGTACAACAAAATATCTAGCCGGGCCCATCCTTTGAAATTTAAGACAGCCAGTCTTGACCAACACTGAAGACAGCCAACTTGGTGGTATAGAAGGGCCCGTATCCTTTTCAACTATAGCCAAAGTCATCAATAAGCTGCTATTTTCAACAATGTATAAGGTGATGGAGCACATATGTGCATGTAGACAGTAACAAGACTTCTGCAG